TGCGCGTTGATTGTCACAACCCAGCTCGTACTTGTCTTGATCATGGCCGAGTTCCATGAGGAACTTCTTCATCCACAACATCTCTTTGCTTGCCTCAGTAGCGGCAATGTACTCAGCCTTAGTTGTAGATAGTGCAACACATTTCTGAAGTCTTGATTGCCAAGAGACAGCTCTTCCGGCAAATCTCATCAAATATCCTGTAGTCGACTTCCTCGAGTCGGCGTCTCCCCCTAAATCAGAATCTGAGTAGCCTTGCAACTCGGCTTTGCCTTCTCCAAATCGGAGACATAAGTCGGTCGTACCTCGAAGGCACTTGAAGATCCACTTCACTGCTTCCCAGTGCTCTTTGCCGGGGTTTGACAAATACCGGCTTACCATTCCAACAGCATACGCCAAGTCAGGTCTAGTGCAAACCATTGCATACATCAAGCTTCCGACGACGGATTGGTAAGGGACCTTCATCATCTCATCTTTGTCATCATCAGATCTCGGACATTGCTTTTGGTTCAGCTTTATGTGTTCGGCTGGGGGGTGCTCACTGTTTTGGCTTTGTCCATGCTGAATCTCTTCAGAATCTTCTCAATATATTTCTCTTGACTCAGCCACAGTAGCTTCTTCTGTCTATCTCGGATAATCTTTATTCCGAGAATCTGCTTTGCAGGGCCGAGGTCCTTCATTGCGAAGGACGAGCTTAATGCCTTTTTCAGGGCGGCTATCCTCGATTTATATTTCCCTACAATAAGCATGTCGTCAACATATTACAACAAAATCAGAAAATCTCCGGCCTCATACCTCTTCATAAATACGCAGTGGTCGGCTTCAGTCTTCTCAAACTTATGATCAGTCATGAATGATTCAAAATTTTTGTACCACTGTCGAGGTGCTTGCTTCAAGCCATAGAGGCTCTTCTTCAACCGACATACCAAGTCTTCTTGGTCTGGAGCTTGGAATCCTTCAGGTTGCTCCATATATATTTCTTCTTCTAAGTCACCGTGAAGAAATGCCGTCTTCACGTCCATTTGTTCTACCTCGAGGTCCATTGAAGCCGCCATGGCTAACACGGTTCGGACCGAGGTCATTTTCACAACAGGAGAAAAAATCTCCTCAAAATCAACTCCTTTCTTCTGATTGCAGCCTTTCACTACAATCCGGGCTTTGTATCTCGGTTTCTGCCCGTTCTCTTCATTCTTGATCTTGTAGACCCATTTATTCTTCAAAGCTCGTCTTCCTTTAGGCAACTCGGTCAGCTCATAAGTCTGATTCTCGTGCAGAGACTTCATCTCGTCTCGCATTGCCTTTTCCCATTCTTCTTTCTCTGAGCTAGTCACAGCCTCATCATAACTCTGAGGCTCACCGTCTTCAGCAACAACGGTGTATTCATCAGATGGGTACCTTGTAGAGGGTCTTCTTTCTCGAGTTGGATATCTCAGCTGTTCTTCAGCTTGAGAACCCGGTTCATCAATTTCATCCCGGATCTCATCTTCAACTCGGACCTCAGTGTCTTGGTCATCTTCAGCTTGTTGCTGGTCATCAATTTCTTCACTCTCTTGATTTTCTCCCCCTGCTTCAGCTTGGACAGGAGGGATGGGTTCTTCACGTCTGACAGTCACCCGGGCTTTGGGCTTCGAGATGTCATGAATGTTCTCATGCTCATGAAAGATCACATCTCGGCTTCTCACGATCTTCTTATTGATTGGATCCCAAAGTCGGAACCCGAACTCACATCTCGGCGAAGCAAGATAAATGCATTCTTTAGTCTTTGCATCAAGTTTGGCCCTTTCATCTTTAGGGATATGCACGAAAGCTCGGCATCCAAACACTTTCAGTTGATTGTAGGTCGCTTTCCGACCTGTCCAGACTTCTTCTGGAATTTCTCCTTCAAGTGGCCGTGATGGTGAAAGGTTGATCAAGTCAACAGCAGTTTTGACGGCTTCTTCCCAGAATGATTTCGGCAATCCGGCATTGGATAACATGCTTCGGACCTTTTCTTCAATAGTTCTGTTCATCCGCTCAGCCAGTCCATTCAGCTGAGGTGTCTTGGGGGGCGTCTTCTCTAGTCGAATCCCGGCCGCTCTGCAGTATGCATCAAATGGGCCGCAATACTCACCACCATTATCAGATCGGACCACCTTCAATTTCTTGTCAGTCTCCCTTTCAACCATCGCATGGAATTCTTTAAATGATTGGAGTACCTGGTCTTTAGTTTTCAACAAATATACCCACACTTTGCGGGAATGGTCATCAATAAATGAAACAAAGTACTGAGCTCCTCCAAGGGATCTTTCCGACATGGAGCAGACATCAGTATGGACGAGGTCAAGAATATACCTGCGTCGTCTAGGTTGATCCGGTCTCACAAAAGAAACCCGGTGCTGCTTTCCAGCTAGGCAGTGCGTGCAACTCTCCAACGCTTGGCCTTTCAACCCGGTCAATAATCCTTTCTTGTTCAGGATCTGGAGCCCTTTCTCGCTCATGTGGCCGAGGCGCTTGTGCCATAGTTCCAAGCTAGGTTCATCTCGAACAGAATTGGCTTCTTCGCCATTGATCTTTCGTTGCATCACGTACAAGGAGCCTTCCTTCTTACCTCGGGCCACGACCAAGTTTCCCTTGGCCAGCTTCCATCTCACGCTACCGAAGTAGTTCACTAACCCGGCATCATCAAGTTTGCCTACCGAGATTAGGTTCAAACGCATGTCAGGAACATGCCTTACATCTTTCAACACAAGTCGGCATCCGACATCTGTGGTCAGAGTTACATCACCGACACCAACAATCTTGCTGGTCACTTGATTTCCCATCTTCACGACTCCAAAATCACCACCTCGATAAGAGGAGAAAAAACCTTTGTGTGGAGTAACGTGGAAGGAGGCACCGGAGTCAACAATCCAGGTGCAGTCATCATATGCAACATTCAAATAATTATCCTCGCCAAGGAGGAATATCTCGGCATCCGGGTTGGCAGCCACCGCAGTGGTGCTCTTGTCTTCCCTCTTCTTGGGAATAATCTGATCCGGCTTCACAGAGCCGTTCTTCTCATCATTCTGCAGGGTCCAGCAGTCTGGCTTCTTATGGCCTGTCTTTCCACAGTAAAAGCACTTCAACTCATATTTCGGCTTTGACCGACCTCTGGACTTGTCTCGTCTGTCTCGACCTCTACCTCGGCTTTTGCTTCTACCGCGGGAGTCGGATTTCCCTTTGTTCTCAGCAACGTTGGCCTCAGACGTACTCAAAGTACCTCGTTCTCTTCTCCTGGATTCTTCGCCCAGGAGGCTGTCTGTCACGACATCCATCTTCAATTTTCCATCTGGAGTCGAGTTATTCAGGGTCACCACCAGAGTATCCCAGCTTTCTGGCAGCGAGCTCAACAGCAGCAATGCCTGCAATTCTTCATCAATTTTCATATCAGCCTTTGACAGCTGATTCACAATACCTTTGTATGTGTTCAGGTGTTCAATCATGCTCATATCGTCCTTGTATTCAAGCTTAACAAGTCGGCGAACCAGGTGTGCTTTGTTCCTGGGAGTCTTCTTCTGAATCATGGACTCTAATTTCGTCCACAACTCATACGCGTTCGTGAATTCGGACACGTGCTCAAAGAGGCTTTTATCAATATATTTCCTGATCGTGGCTACCGCCTTCCGACTCAGGATCTCCCACTCCTTATCTGTTTTGCCTGCCGGTCTCTCATCAAGGATAATGGGTTCATGCAGATCTTTGCAGTAGAGATGATCTTCCATCATCGGTCTCCAATATGTGAAGTTGTCTGCGGTCAACTTAAACATATCTCCATCATGAGTTATGCCACTGGTCTCCATCTCGTCTCCCTCAGAACCCGTCGAACTCGGGCTCTGATACCACTGTTGGGAAAACTCGGTTCCCTCAAGCTCGGCTAAGCAGCCTTTGTGCGGAAGTCAATCAACAAGATCCTGATCTCAGATCTCGGCAATACCTCAGCCTGAACTTCACCAGGTTAGGCAGCGCAGCGGAAAATCAAAAACGAAAAATAGGAGAGAGAAGAAGAACACAACCAGATTTAACGTGAGAAAACCTTCTTGAATGAAGAAGTAAAAACCCACGGGACCTAGTCCAGATCAAAAATCCACTATGAAAATAATGGTTACAAATAATCAAATACACCATTGTGGTGGTTAACTCAACCTCTCCAACAATGGTGATAATCAAACTACCCAAGAGATGTTTCACTCAAACTCTCTCTAGAGATCTCTCAAATGCAAAGCATAAAGCTTTTGCTCAAACAATCAAAAGAATTTCTCAAATTTGTTCTCTCAAATTTGACCTCTCAAATCTAACCTAGCCTCCACCCACAACAATGAATATATATAGAGGAGGTGGAAATTAGGGTTTTTAGGAAACCCCTCAAATGGGCTTGGGCTTAGCATTGAAGGAGGAAGCCCAACAAAAATTTCAAAGAAGTAAGAATGAGTTTTTGTTTTCCATCAACGACGGTAAGGATTTCATTTGAATAGGTAAAATTCTTTCCTTTTCTAGAAGATTCACGGCAGCGATGTGAAGATTGAAGACATCTACGTCGCTTGGAGAGAAGAGAATGATTAGATTTAGGTTTGCAAGCATTTTTACTTTATTTTTTTTAATAAAACGACGTTATTTCTTGGAATTTTTTCTAAAAAAAAAACATGCAGTGACCCCCTCTGACCCGGGAGTCACTGAAATCAGGCCGGATTTTGGAGGTCGGAGGGGTCGATGTGCATATAGGGTCCAACTTGTGACCCCAACCCTTATAGGGGACGGGTTAGGGTTGACTCGGGTCAACCGGGGGGCGGGGCGGGGTTTTAAAACACCGATTTGAAGAATTGTTTCCCTGCCAGCCTACACGGGCTACTAAAGTGGGCTTTTGGTCAAGATCCGGGCCTATCCTTCTTTGAAGATGAAAGATTTTAAGATGCACATGTTAGAGCCCACTATTAATTTCCAAGCCATCACAATTCAGAACTCAATTAATTACAGAAAAAAAGGACCTTTGTTTCACACAGATATCTACTCAAATAATTACATAATGTGACTGATAATCAACATCTAAAATCTGCTTCCTAAAATACATGGCTGATATAAATGAGCATCAGAGATCTGTGAGAGTAAAACCATGACTTAGGATGCACTGAATCCAAAATTTAATGAACATTCCATATAACGTCATAAATATAAATAGCAAGCACAAAAGATCCCTGGCTTTTTCCTTCAGGGACTAAGGAGAATCTCTTTGTATTAATGGTGGAGTAGGTGGGTTCATTGTTCCATCTTTACCTTTTTCGGGAAGCTCTTCTTTTACTGAAGATAGTGGCCTATTTGGACTATAATATCCCTTAAAGAAACTGCTTGAACTTAGAGGACTAGATGGTTTGGTTATAGAAGGGGAAGAGTTGTTACCAAGAGGAGAACTTGTGCCAGATTTGGATGATGCCACATCTTCACGAGGCAAAGGTGAAATTGGCGGTTGGTCAACAGTACAAGTTTCTTTCCTGTAGAATTTATCTTGTACAACATCATAAGCATTCCCCGTGCGTACTTCTTGAGCAAGAGAGCACCAGCAACAGCATAGCCAAAGTGTGCAATCAGAAGCTGCATGCTTGCCAAAACAGAAGTCATAAGCAGGCAAATTGAACCTCTTTCTCATTTGGATCCTCCAAAAGCCACCATACAGTAAACCAAACAAACATAGAAGGATCCCAGCAGCTACTAAAGCCTGCCTAACAGTGTCATCCCCTATGTTAACACCAGCCAAGATAAAAATCCAGAAGGGAGCCATACAGAACAGCATAAAAGTGGCAATATGAACATACATGTTTCCAAAACCAAGTCTCTCCATATTCCACCCAAAGACACAAAATGTACAGAAAAGTGATAGATATGCTTGAGAAATATCGTCCCAAAGGTCAAGTATTCCTCCGCTCCACCGTGGTTTATTTTCAATAATCCTTTGTTCATCTTTGGGTGCAAATGAATATCTCTTCTCAAATGATTTCACTCTCAGCTGATCTTGCTTTTGAGTAACAGAATTTTGAACCTGCGCTTCTTCATCCATCTCAGAATCATAATCTTTACCTAGTGGGCTAAGAATGGTATACAGACCAGCGATTGCAGGTGCAGCGATTGCAAAAGATATACATATTCCAACTCCTATGGCTGGGCGCTGTGATCTTTTATACCCCAAGTTTAGACCACAAAGTGCATATTGAGCAAAACAGTTCAGATGAAGGAGAATCACCACTACCATCATGTGTGCCCACTCATGAGGCTTATAAGTTCCATTCTTGCAGTACACTTTTCTAAGTCTGGATATATCTTTTGGATTCCATCTGCACAGAAGAACAAGGTGGTAGATCCTCTTGGGATGTTGGTACAAACACATTAGCGTAAACAATGCATTGAGTATTTGATTGTTTACTTCAAACCATGCGTTCCTCTCGGACTTATTTGGTATCGCACCATTCAACATGCCAGTCATGACAAGGAACAGAATTGCACCCGAAACAGCAACGCAGAGGATCCACACAAAGAGGGCCATGTTCATTGGGTCCCTAATCCATTCTATGCACATGGTCTTGAGTGAACCCCAGTCAAGTTTCTTACCAAACATGCCACTGAAGCGTTCTCTTAAGCTATGTGAACTGGTAGCAGGCACAGATTGTGAAAACTGGTCCTTCTCAGTGGCAAGGCGCTTGAACTTGGCAGATGCAGAACCAAATTTCAAGAACTTGATCCTATTAGGAATAGAACTCAAGGTGCCCTGGAATTTTCTCTGAGGATTTTCACTGCTCAACAATGTTTTTCGAGAAGTTGAAATATCTATGGAAACAAAATCCTTTACGTTAGTTCCATTAGATTCCTCAATTTCATCTTTACCATTATCAACCGAAACCATTCTGATACGAATTCTGAGCTTCCTCAATCAAAATCAGAACCTTATAATCAATGGTAACTGTATGGAACAAATACTGCGATAACCAAAAAAGAACAATCTGTGCTAAGTATTCAAATCCATAACAAATTTCATGTGAATCAATAAGAACAAAGAAGGTATCCAAGCACATAAAAAACCAAGACAGAAACTTGATATATGCAATGATGACCCAGTAAACAGATCATCATGAGCTTTCATTGATTAAAATTTTCACAATTCACAGAATAGAAATCAGAACATAACTCAAAAAAGTCAAAACCCAAAAATCTAATCCCAATAATACCAACAGATTCATCTCACGAAACAGCTAAAATGAAAACACAGTAAAGAACCCTCCATTTTGCACGACAGAGATCCTCACAATCCTAGTAATAAAATATGCTGATAAGAGAAAAAAAAAAAAAAAAAAAAAAACCCAGAACAATAACATCAAGCTATAGATGCAGGAGTTGGTGTCAAGTGGAAACATACCTATAAGCTGACAAAACAGGAAGAAGGCGTTGAATCCAAGTAAGAGTTATATTCTCGGTAAAAATTCACAATCAACAAATTCGAATATAAACTCCCCCAAACTATAAAAGTTGAAACAAAATAATGGCGTGTGAACAGTTGTAGTTGAGCCAGTTGGCAAAACAAGAATTCATAGTCAAATAGATTGCTTCCAAGAAAAAGAAAAGGGAAGTACAGATTGAAAACATTGAAAACTCATTTGGTCAGCGTACAATAGATATCTAGAAACGAAGACACTGGGTAAGGAAAAAAAAAAAAACATGGAAAATTGAGGTTATCTAGAATCTTGTCACTGTGGAAGGAAAGACGGGTCCCACCACCATGTTAAAGTTCATCTCTTTTGTTTAGTTTTATTATCATTGTTTTTTTATTTTGTTTTTTTAAACTTTATTAGGTGATTGTTACTTAGGAATATATTTAAAGTTTAAACGGTCAAATTTACTTGTTTGGTTTATGGGTTCGCTTTTTCTGCAGTTACTGTAGATAATTTATCTGCAGTAAGTCTAATTTGACGTCGTTTTGGACTTAAATCATCGTGTTTTTGTAATTTTAATTTTTTTCAGGATTATAATAGTTTTTATATTTATAATTTTTTAAAATTTCAATGCCAAAACGATATCGTTTTGAGAATAAATGCAGATAACTTATCTGCATTAATTACAGAAATATTTTTTCCTTAATTTATTTGGTCAATATTTTTCTTCTATGTCGGCTGACATGAGCCAGCATGAGTTGCACATTTAGATTAAGCAATGATTCGCTGGTTTTATATAGTTGGGCTACTTTAAGTTAAATATCGTTTTAAGATGATATCACTTTGAAGAATTATGCGATTTTGTTTATATTAGTCTCTATACCTGATTACCTGCTTTGCAATATTAATGATTATTAAACAATTATTGCTATAGAAATATCTAGCTATACTTATGTGTATCATTGTTGTTTGTTGGCTACCAATATAATACTACATTCTTTTTTTTTTTTTCAAATTAGGTAAATTAGCTCATGCATCAACTTGATATTTTTTAAATAAAACTTAAGCTTATTTTAGTTTCTTTTCTTGGTAAACGAATCCAAGATAAGATTTATGGCCGTAGAACAATTTAACTAAAAAAGTATATATACGATTCATTATCAGGCATTAACATACTATTTTTGTTTTCTTCTTTTGCGGCATGTTTTTAGGTTGGGCCAATATTCCCCTCCCAAGTCAAACTACTAAGGTGATTTCGATTGGATAAGTGAAAATTTAGATAAAAAAATTAGAAAAAAAAAAAATACAATACAATTGCTTGAACTACAAAACTTGTGGAATGAGTGAAAGTAGATTACACTCCACCAGTTTTGGTATATATGGTACGAAAGGAATAACCGAAGAATCATCCCTCACCATTTGCAATTGGCATTCCTAGCTGCGCTGAAAAACTAAACTGAATAATGTCATCATAAACCCAATGAGTTGCCGTGGTGATTAAGGGAGCTTGCTCACTGTCTTAATGAATCCGGTTTAAACCTTATGTCCACGTCCTTAGCGGCGTTTGGTTCAGGAAATTTTTTTGGTATAGTAGGGAAATGAGATAGATAGAGAAGTGATTGAAAAGATAGATAAAGTGAGATAGGTAAAAAAATGTAAAAAAAAAGTTATTTGGTGGGGAAAAACTTTACTGGAAAAAGTAGGTAACTTTATAAAATCAACAGTGCATTAAAAGCCAGATAATCGGTTTTCCGAAAAATTCCACCTTCAAATTGGGTTTCTAAACAGTGCGGATATCTATGTTTCTCATAAATCCAGACAAATTGGATATATGAGTTTTTGGTGAAAAACGTTGAAACAAACATGGTGTTTCTAAAAGCCATACTTGAGAAAGATAGATATCCGTTGAAAAACTCTCAACCAAACACCACCTTAAAGAAAATTAATTAATTGCTCAATATGTTCTCAGTTGTACTAAGAATACTCTATTAATGTTATACTAAGAATACCCTTATCGTATTTAAAACAAATAATATCATTTTATTTCAAGAACTTTATTTCTCTATTAGAAGATAAAACTCTACAAGAAAACTTGTCTTTAAAGAAGAAATAAAGATACACGAGGAGATCACTTGTAATGGTGTAAGTTTAATAAGTCTAATATTTATTCTATATTGTTGATCCCATTTGCATTAAAGACTCATGTAATTAAGAAATTATATTAGGGATCAACGAATGATAATGAATATAAATTTTATATCAGTATAAATTCATTCTTTCCAAAAATATATTTATTATTAATTTAATTTGAAATACATTATAATCTTAACATATTAAAATTTAAAAATAAATACATTCTTATTTACTCAAGAAAAATTCACTTTAAATAAAATTTCTATCATTCGTTGATAACTAAATTGTGTTGCCACCGTTTTTAATGAATTATGGGCAGTACGAGGGGTAGAGAAGGCTGCGATAGTGAAGTTCATTCACAGTTATTTTAAGAAAATGGATGGCAAGAGAAACCTACAATGCAAGTGATCTCAGGTAGTCTAACCCTCAGTTGCGCCCAAGAACAAAACTGAACAATGTGTTAGCCGTCTCACTAATCCACTTATAAAAACAATAATTATTGAAACTCTCTTGCTTCCACATTTGCCATAGTTCCCGAAGGATGCTTAAATCGAAATAGTTGAGTGAGATGTTCTATGATGCATCAAACCTGTTTTTTTTTTAATCCAAAAGGGTAAATTGTTAAGCGAACACAATATTAATAGTTTAGAAAAAGTGTGTATCATTTTAAAGATATAAAGTTGTGTCATTTTAAGTGAGAGAAAGAGATAGATAAAGGAGGAGAGAGAGTGGACAAAAAAAATATAAAGGTGTGAATCCCACCTTTTTGTGAGAGTGAAATAACACAAGTTGTGTCATTTTAAAGGACAAGCATTTTTTCTTAATAATTTTATGTCATTCTTCTCTGACATTTTTCATCCTTCCAAATAAGCTACCATAATAACATCTCCTTGTGATGCCAAAATGTTGTCGTCGTGATATGCAAATCCGATTAAAGTGGATGAGATCAGATTCAATCTACCTCATAAAGAAACTCGTTTCAAGAATTCGAACAGATCACTAAAATTGAAACCCAAAGCAAGAACACTTCAGATAAGTAGATATGTAAGATGAACAACTGGACAGACAAGCATAATACAAGACAAATCATCAAACACGAAGTCCATCCGATAGAAGAGTAAGGTGCAAATCAAGTAAGATCATCCTCCTCGAGTTCTTTGGCTTTCAGTTTTTCCTTCACCCTCAAAAGAAGTGTTGTCTTCCAAGAATCCTGTACAACATTCGTGCAAACAGGCAATGTCTAAAGTGAAGAATTTGATGAAATGTCTAAAGTGTCTGACCCATATCTAACAATCACTAAATACTTCGCAATCTTTAGAATGTAATGAAAAGTAGAAACAGAGTAAATTTCGAACTAGAGCAGAAAAGCACTGTCCTGCAACCCATATCTCTTACCAGTTAAAATGTGAAGTTCAATATAACTAGAAATGAATCAATTATTCAAGGGAAAATTCGGAGCAGATGCAAATTATTGAAAACATATTTAGTAAATTGCCGTAAAATGGGACAATTCAATTATGATAAATTATGTTTGTTCCGCTATAAAAATATGGATCTAAACTATATTGGAAATATTCTTGTTAGAAACCAACTAAAAATTGTCCCATTTTTCAATAAATTAGAGCTTACCAGAGGGGTCATGCTGTCAAATTCCTTGATAACTTCAGTAAACTTTCCAACATCTTCTTCATCAATTGCAGCAGCAATATCCTGCTCAATTTTTTAATAAAATTGTCAGTACTTCATATGGAAAATATCTGCGTAAAGAATTAGTCAAAATGCAATAATTAAATGTTACAATAAAATACCAAACATTAATAACAACATTCTAATAGAAGAGGCAGTTATTGAAAAGTCCTCACATTTTGATCTAATTTACTACGTCATCAAAAATTAACAATGAAATTTCACAACTAATAACATACCGCCAAAAGTCTATATTCACGTGTTCCGGGAAATGTTGGATCCAACTCCTGCAAACACAAATATATATATCCAAAGAAATTAGCAACTGGTGATGTTTCCAGTCTAAAGACGTATATTCTTGAAAAATATTAGACCTGATATCGCTCTAATGCATTAGTAATAGCAATACCATCCCCTTTGCAAAGTTGGCAAATGCCAGCATTAAGAAGATGTCCTTTGACTCCATACTTCAGCAAATTATTGTTGAGAGACTGGCGAGCTATCTCTTCATAAATCTCAATTGACCTCTGATACCTGGAGATATATCAAAAAAGTTGAAACAGTTCAATATAACATAAAGAAAAGGCTATATAAAGTTCCCTTCATTTATAAAAAAATTATTGCTTTCTGTACATCATTCTAGCAGTTCCTGCTCTAATTAGAAAACATCGTACACATCACCATATGACTAAGACCACATGCAGCAATGGGCTGACATTTGTTAACATGTATTCAAGGCTTAGCAAGTCAACAAAACTTTGGATTGTTGAAAGAAAAATGCCAGAGTTTTGTTAAGATTATATATCAAACAAATGATACAAATGAAGACCAGCTACTAAAGCAAAAAATGTAGTAAGCAACAAACATAGAACAACAGACGAAAATCATGTTCAAGCATTATCATTGAGGCCTTCACAGCAACAAGAAAGATAAAATAAGCAGAAAATAGAAAATATTACTGTTCTAGCTGAGCAGAAAATTGAGCAACTTTTTGCTTGCACTGGTTTGCAGAAGTTTGTACTTCTTCGTTCTCGTAAAAATCAGCCGATTTTTCATAGTAAACAACAGCCTGCTCAATATTCTGTTCAGACTCATACAACTCAGCAATTTCCTGTGTGTACAAAAAGTAAAGCCCAATTATGACATATTCATGGTGATTCCTGAAACAATACCTCAAAAAGGACCATACGTAACCAAATATGCATTCCAAGAAACTAAATTTAAATGAATACTGAAACAAAAAAACTGAAGTTATAGTGATATATACCTTCAAATATCTAGCAGCCATAGAAAGTCTACCAATTTCACAGAAAATATTTACAGCATTGTCTAAGCAAGATACAGCCTCTGCATTAAAAGAGAGAAAAAGAAGTTTAACATTGAAAGTGCTATTATTTTCATATTAATGCAAGTGATGGCATGCTAACACATGCTTTGCAGCTGTATAATTAAAGCCACTTTAAAAGTGGTGAGCAAATAACCACCATAAAAGAAAACAGGCAGATGGATCTCAGGTACTGCAATCAACTTACGCATATACTAATTAATTTTAATATGTAATTAAAACTAGCTAAAGATAAGAACCAGTACTTAGAGCTAGGTGCATTGTATATGTGAAGCAAAGTATCTGATTTTTACAAACGGAAAGCTTGAATAACAAAGAAAACCAGAAGATTTCTTGTATAAATTGATCATGCACAAAGGCATATAATTTGAATTATATTTGATAGATAGAAGTACAGTACTAAGAATAAAAGATTTTGACCTTGCTGCAAGGAGGCGCTAGCACCATTTAAAGCATTAATCAGAATTCAGAAATGAGGAAAAGAATATAGATGGCACAAAAATAATCAATATTATGAATTCACATTTCACAACATCCATCATGTGAGTAAAATTTATTTCTGTTGAAGTGCATGCCGGATGACCAATGCCAATAATATTGACTTTTTTTTCCCTGCTAACATAGGCTACAAAAAGACCTAATGAAGCGAGAAATGGATTGGTGCACAATTTGACTCATAATAGACGAATGTCATGAGCATTGTGGAGGGGTAGATTAATTATTTTTTCCTAATATTTATTTTTTCTTTCTTGTTTATATTTCTCTGCCTGCAATCTGTTTTTTGCTTTTTATTGTGTTGATGGATATTTGAATCGATTTATTTGATATAAAGGTGATGTCATGTGCATGGGATTTCTACAATATATGAAGTCGAGATCACCACTGATTAGTAAGGTTAAAATAGAATGACTTGGGTAGCAAGCAGAAAAGAATCCTAGAGTATGTAATGTAACCACATTCATGCATACCATTTATATTAGTCTTCTTATAGCAATGGGCAGCGTCAACATAAGCTTGGGCAGCTTCATGCTTGCTTTCCAACTAGAATCAGAAGACAACATGGGTCATTTACAGGGCTAAGAGAGTGAAAGAAAGAACGCCATAAATTTAAAAAATAAAAAATAAAAATGAACCGAGTTACCTTCAAATGGCAATTTGCCAATTTGATGTAGGTGGATCCAGCTTTATCCCCTGAAATGTGATCATCACAACCAACAACAATTTCAGACCTGATTTTAAAAAGCGAATCATTGGCGTTCGCGACCTTAACCAACAACATGCTACGATTTGTACGCAATTAATTAAAAAATGCAGCAATTAAGGTTACATGATTTAGCGAGCTTGAAGGAATTGGCGGATTTATCGAAGAGATCAGAAGCATCCTCGTATTTGGAACCGAACAAACCCCAACCGCCCAGTTTCTTCTCTGCCTTATTCTCAAAATCCTCCGCTCTCGCCAAATGATCCCCCATTCTTTTTTTCAACAATTCGATTCGATCAATTCAATCTCTTTCATACAAACTATTATCAATTTGAGAGAGACAATGAGAGATGATTACAGATAAATACTATTCGCCACCAAGCTGGAAAGAAGAAAAAATAAAAGGAGAGAAGATGCAACAGAAACCCAACGGAACTAGGCTACGTTACGTTAAGCTTTTTGATTTAAATAAATTAATTTTGTGTAAAAAATATTGGGTTTGATCTAAGCTTAAATAAATTAAGTTTGTGTAAAAAATATTGGGTCTGACTTGGCATGTTCCACAAATTACAAGTCTGACATGATTTATATTTAAAAAATAAAATTTTTAACCTAAACCTGTCAACATGTTTAAATTTATTAAATATTCAATAATTAAAAAATTAATTAAAATAATATTTTATTATTCAAATTTATTAAAATAATGATTTTATTTATTTTATTTAAAATAAGTAATATGATATAGGCCGACCCATAGGCTCAAGGGTCTGACATGTACAAGAAAGAAAGTCAATGACCTATTTTTTAAATTGATTTTTTTAAAAAATTTAATATTATAATAGGATAAATCTAACCTAATATAAACTAGTCGTAGATTCTTATAACCTGGTACGTTCATTTATACCCCCTGCTCACAACTAATAGAATTGTCAATTTTTGCTTTTTCCGAAGGAATATGCTTTCTCTAGGGTCTGGGCTCCGCTCATTGGGCCTTTTTTTTGGATTTTAATGGGCTGCTTCGATTTGCTAACTACATAAACCAAATCCATGACAGTTCACCTCTTTTCCGATACCCTTTTCTTCTGACTCACTAAAAGAAACATGTTTTTTACATCCCAAAACTAATGATGTACCTTAAAAAGTAAGCTTTAAAGTAGTATTTGGTTGGGGAGAAGTGAAAATATGGATGGATAAGTACATGTGGGTATCTAATAAAATCATGTTTGGTTGAAAGTTTTCATTTTCTTTTCCCATCAAAAAGCTTTCCTAGCAAACCAAGAAGAGAACCAAAAATCGGATATCTTCACTGTTGAGAAAGCGTTTGAAGATGTGAAATTTCTCTTCAAAATCGGATAAGTGAAAAGCTGATGAATGGCATGCCAAGTTTACCCCTATTGTGGTTCGAAGGATGTAATAAAACGGTTTCATTTTTACGAGGATAGTTTGTAATTTCATTAAATTTTTTCATCAATATTTTATCTTCAACCAAACACACATTCAGAAATTTAATTCAATTTTTCTGGTAAAATTTTGCTCAACCAAACAACTTTTTTAAAACTTTCCTATCTAACTCACTTTTCCCCCATATCCCTAGTATTTATATTTTCCTAGTATTAAAAAATTTCTCCCCAACCAAACACAACCTTTAAGAGAATAAATTTTCATATTCCTAAAATTTGTATCTTGGAACTTTTCCCATATAAATTTGTCAGCTATTAATTTTTTTTATCAACAACTATTGGTTTTTTTTATTTTATAAAAAATAAATTTAACTCAAAAACTTAAATTATTAGATGAGATTATATTAATGATTTTATATATCTTTAATACGTTCCTTCACATGATAGCCAACAAGGCTTAAAGGATGAATAATATATAAGCTCACTTATCTATGTTAAGAAACTCCAAAAGATTTAAGTAATTATTAATTAAATGGAGGACAATGAAGATCGAACACGTGACACTAAGGCTCTGATATCATGTAAAATATTATTTTTCCAAAAATGTAAGCTAATGAGTAATGAGAGGGCTATTTAATGGTTAATACTATTCTCTGACATATTTAAAAAAATGTATTACTCGTTTTAGATAATTTAAATTCTGTGAAGAAACTCTCGTTTGGATGTGAGAATTTTATAGGGTGCTTAATCTATTCTACCTTGCATAAGGTGAGTTTAGTAAGATAGACAATTAAGGTTTGAAGTCAACCTACACCTCTTTATTTTAAGCAAACATTAAGTTTAATTTAGTTATTGATAGAATTAATTATATAAATACCTTTAGAAATTTAATACTTGTACTTAAATATCTAAAATATATTTTTTCTTTTATATGATGTTATAGATTCATTCAAATATTATGATAAAATATTATATAAATATAAATTAAACATTTATTAATACGGATATGGATTGAGAGTGCTATAACCTAACTCTCAATCCATATCCGTACTAATAAATATTTTAGGTCTTAATTTTATTTTATTAACTAAATATAAAAAAATAATTTATAAATTAATTTTTTTCTGTTATGAAATCTGACATAAAAAATTAAGAAGGCATGAAAAATTATTTTTGTTTATATTTATGTTATGAAATTTGAATATTTGATTGGCTATATGACTTATTATGGTTGTTATACATATTAAATATAGATTATATTACATATATTAAAATATTATATAATATCAAAACATGTTCCAACATGTCAAAAATAATATTTTTTAAAATTAACGTGTCAGTGTATCGTGTCATGTCGTATCACATATTAGTGCATCCTATAACAGGAAATATTTTTTATGCTCCAGGACCACTCAATAATCCGGTGCTTCCTCTCACAACATCACTTTTTTCTTTCTTTATTTACTTCTGTTATTTTTTTTCTTTTCCACTTTTATCCTTTCATTTACACTAAAGAACCAACAAAAAAACGGTGGTACCGGACCACGATAAATAATCTCCTATAACCATCGCTTTCTATCCTTGTTCAAGGCTAGGACTGTCACGCCAACAGTAAATTTTGTCAAAATGCTACGCGGCATAATTCGCTACACAGTGTAGCAAATTATGTATGCAAGTAATTCGCTACTCAGTGTAGCGAAATATTCCACGTCAGAACGCACAGAACCAAAAATGCCACATGTCAAATTATGCAAAATTCGCTACATAGGGTAGCGAATTTTGTAAAATTTGTCATGTGACATTTTTGGTTCTAACGTTGCATATTTCGTTACACTGTGTAGCGAATTACTTGCATACATAATTCGCTACACTGTGTAGCGAATTATGCCGCGGGACATTTTGGTAAAATTTATTGTTTGCGTGGCAGTCTGGTAATTTTTTTGTCCAAACATGACAAAATAGTCACTCTCCCCTCAAAATATCACCAAGATGTTGTCAGTTGTCAGTTAGGATGTTCAGGATGACAATGACATCTTATCGGGTTCACAGACATTTATGTGAAAATTTCGAGTTGGATTGTAGTTACCATAATTTTATTTTGGTTTTTTTCTTTAAATCCTTTATTTTGGTTTTCTTTAATATGAAATAGGATTCTTTAATATTGATATTATATTTTAATTTTGACATTAGATTTTATTTATTGATTTTCATCAATCAACAGGTATTATTTATTGTAAATAATAATTAATTAATAAATTTAAATCTCAATAAATGATAATCATTAACTAACAAAAATTAACGATTAAAATTTAGTGTCAAATTTTAAAATTTGACACCAAACCCAAATGAGCTGAGACTAGTCTACAGTGGAACCGACTCATACTGCACACTGTCCCTTATTTTATGAGAAAAATTTTAGTGCATTGAGATTATCAAATTCAATGTTTTTTTATTATTATTATTTTTAACTTAAAGAAAAATATAAAGGGTAATTTTTTCTTCTTTGAATTAAAAAAGAACGTCAAATTCAATATTTTTGGTGGATTGAAGTTTTTCTGCTATTTTATAAGCTTTTGAGATTATGTGATATGTGAGTGTTAGAGGTGTTTATCAACTGATTTAAACTGCGGTGACCAAACTAAAAAATCGATAATCGAATAAATCGAAAATCAAAAAAAATAAAAAATCGATAAAAAAAACCACAAATTTTAATTGAATTGGATCAATTCTCGGTTTGATTAATGAAAATCAATCGAATATATTAATTTCTCTATACCTACTTGGGTCTTTTCCAGTCATAGTCGAAAAAATTCTAAACTCAAGACCCGTTAACCCATCAATTAAACATAAAAAAAAAAACTTAACCATATCTCATCAGCAAAATATTATCTGGGTCGAGCTTCATATCCCATTACAAAAAAAAAAACTATATTACCATTTACTGATGCTTTTTGTATTTCAAATTTTTTTTTTACAAAGTCAATATATAGAAAAAAATATGTTATTTGCACAATAATCATTAGATAAATTTTAATCTTTTCAAAAAGTCGAAAACCTTGGATTGGATCAGATCTGATTTGAAAAAAAATTCAAACCAAATGGATAATTACATGATCAAACCAAAGGGAGGATTGGATCAGATGATTTTTACTATCAAAACTGATCCAATTCAGATCGCGAACATGCCTAGAGTGTTAAAAGGGGAAATATTCTTTCCTTTAGGGGGTGTTTGGTAAGGTATTTGGTATGGAATAATGAGGAAGTGAGGTGAAAAATATTTAATTACCATGTTTGGTATGGGTATTTTGAACAAAATCCCAGAAAATATTTTTTCCATGTATTTCCCTTTTTCCCTTTTCAACTACATACAGACAAATAATTATGCCACTGATCCTTTGGTATTTTTTTTGCTCAAGTCTTGAATTCTGAATATAATATGTTGAGTCAAATAATTATCCCTTTTAAAAGGTATTTTGGTATTTTTGACTCACATTTTCATCAATATTTTATCATCAATTAAATATAGCATCCGTAAAATGAACCCAACTTTCCCGACAAAATTTTGGTCATCCAAACGTTTTTTTATAACTTACCCATGATAAAAAAATTTCAGAATATCTCTCGTACTAAACGCTTCTAATTTTTTATTTATTTGTTTCCAAATCGTTTAACGCAAGAGGATTACCAAGTGCTTTGCAGGTGCAAAGTGCAATAATTGATGAATAAATTAATGGATAAACACATACATTTATTGCCGAAAAAAAAGATAAAGACCACATGGCTCATGGCTGTATATCCATCGACGGCATTTATTATACAACACCCAAAATGAAGCTTGCCTCTACGTCCGACAATACCCAAGTTGTTGCCCCTCTCCTCCTACCGCGGGACTGCGAGCACTCCCCGGAAGACCCGAGTCCGCAAAATGGATCCATTACCGGAGCGGTGTTCAACATATCAACCACCATGATCGGTGCGGGAATCATGTCGGTTCCGGCGACCATGAAGGTGCTGGGCTTAATTCCGGGGTTCGTGGTGATTGTGTTGGTGGCAGTGATAACAGATATAACGGTGGAGTTTATGTTAAGGTACACAAGCTCCGGGAAATCCATTACCTATGGGGGCATGGTGGGCGAGTCATTTGGCTCTATAGGATCCCTTGCTGTCAAGATTTGCGTCATCATAACCAATCTTGGTATCCTTATCATCTATTTCATTATTCTTGGTACGTTCTTCTTCACCTTCAAATTCAATCCAAAAAGGATATTTTACAAGTTTAATATATTTTCCCTTGGACACGCAAAGTTTACTTTCCTATTTTAGAAGTACGATATTTCAAAGTAAATTTGGGCTAATTCACACCCCATGTTTGTGTTCATTTCATGAGAAATAAAAAGGATAAAACGTTTATGACAGTGGCGTCATTGGCGTGTGGGGACAACTTATTTGGCATGGAGATCTTTTCTGTCTGAAAAGCTACTGATTTGATATATTGATATTATTATTTTTTATCAGAAAATCTACTGTTTGGTTGTCTACTGTCCAATATTCTATTTATATTAGCCATGAATCCACGATGATATAACGACACAATAATAGTAATTACTAATTTCCAGATTTGATCGCGAGAATATAATATTAATTACTATATTGTAATAAAGACAATATATTAAAAATAGTTATTATAATTTAGTCGCATATTGATCCGTTATAAGTTAGGGTATATTTTGTTCGTTTTTTCTGCAGTTAGTGCAGATAACTTATCTGCAGTAAGTCAATACGACGTCGTTTTGAGATGGAAATCATGGTATTTTTGTAATTTTAATTTATTTCAGAGTTATAATAGTCTTTATATTTATAATTTTTTAAGATTTCAATACCAAAACGACGTCGTTTTGGGAATAAATGCAGATAACTTATCTGCATTAATTGCAGAAACATTTTTCCCTATTTTGTTTGGGAAATGTGTTTTCCATTTTTGTACGAGATAATTTGATCTTATGCAACATACACAAAAATGGGTGGGACTCATTTTTTTTTTCTTTTTCTCTCTTTTTTAATAGTTCCATTCAGTTTTTTGTGTATTGCATGAGCCAAATTGTCTCATGCAACAACATGAGAAAAATCAAACTCATTTTATTTTCCTCGTTCCCTCTTACAAATTTTGTTGTCTGGCATTTAGAGGTGGCAAAGCGGGCTGCCCGCCCCTGCCCGCCCCGCCATTGAAGGTGGGCTAGATATCTCAGCCTGCGCCGCCCCGTTTGGGCGGGCTGCCCGCCAAGCCCGTCACATTTTACACTAAAAATTAAAAAAAAAAAAATCAGCCCGGGCGGGCTGGCGGGCAGTGGGCTTAGAAAACTCAGACCGCCCCGTTTGGCGGGCGGGGCGGGCCGGCCCGGCGGGCTCGGCCCATTTTGCCAGCTCTACTGGCATTGATGTCATCTTGTTGGATTAATGATACAATCTCATGTTCACTAGTGTAACTGAAATTTTTAAAATTCTAAATTAAAACGAATAAAACTTTTAAAGTAATAATTATTAGAACAAGGTTATAGTTACAACCTTTTTTTCTTACAACCTCTTACAACCATATCTTATCACCGTTGATTTCCGCCAATCAACGGTTATCATTTTAGCAAATTAAACTCATTAATTACTTATTAATTCACAATAAATGATAACCATTGATTGGCGGAAATCAACGGTGATAAGATATGGTTGTAAGAGGTTGTAAAAAAAAAGTTGTAAGTATAACCTTCCTCTAATTATTCTTTTAAAAGAAGGGAGTAATAGTTATTAGCATTTACCCCAGCCAATAAATTTTTATTTAGAGTAAATATCAATTTTGGTTCCAAACAAAAAATAAGATCTCCAATTTAGTTCTTTGCAAAGAAAAATTAGTCCATTCGTCTGTAAGAAATTCAACGTGGATTCATTTAGTTGAAATCGTGGTCCCTCACAAATTTAAAAAAAACCCATATTAATTCCTCAAAAAAATTAAAATGGGTCCATTTTGAATTTCATAGAGACCAACGAATTAATTTTTTTTTGTAAAGGACTAAAGTGAGAATCATATTTTTTTGTTAGAGATCCAAAAGAATATTTACTCTGCTGTTTGTTCTAATAATTAATCCCAGAGTTGGCTTTGGGTGGTTCAAAACAGCCCAAGCTATCTTCATTAAGAAAGCCTTTAAATTCTTTGAAGCCCAAACCCCGTATATATTTTTCCCGTTGTACAGCGTGCTCCATCCTATAAGATAAGTCTTGACTCTTGAGTAACTAAATTTGATTGTAACTTTGCTTTCATGATTTTTTTTAGCATAAATTTTACTTTAATAATCAGAAAGAAAATGTACCTTTCTTTACTAACTAAATTGTTGATAATACTTATTAAATCATTTATTGGAGTTCAATTTGGGTGTCTATGAGAGTGTTCTCTCATTATCTTTTACAAAGTGAAAATCTGTGCTCTACGTTTCTACTGCAAATTAAATAATATAAGTCGTACGCAACTATCAAACTGATCTGTTAACTTTTGAGTGATTTTGTCCCTCTAATACTATAAAGGAAAAAATGTTTACGCAGTTAATGCAGATGAGTTATCTGCATTTATTTCCAAAGCGACGTCGTTTTGATATTGAAATTTTAAAAAATTATAAATATAAAGACTATTATAACCCTGAAATAAATTAAAATTACAAATACACCATGATTTCTGTCCAAAACGACGTCGTATTGAACTTACTGCAAATAACTTATCTGCAATCACTGCAGAAAAGCGAACCCATATATAAATTATAAATGTTCTATTCTGGTGTGATATAATATGAGTATATGACCGAGTCCAATGCCTTTGTTTTGGAAGGAGACGTGCTCTGTGGAAGTGAGTCCAAAGGAACCACACACTTGGGTGTTCTACAAGAGTGGTTTGGCATCTACTGGTGGACCTCTCGCAATTTTGCACTTCTTATAGTTGCTCTCTTAATGCTTCCACTGGTTATGTTACGGCGAGTTGGTGAGTTGAGTACTACTACCCAAATACACAAGCATCTTTAATTCTGTGTGTGCAAATTAATGCCTTCATCTCAAGTACAGCTTCTTGTTTTGTATGCTTTACATATACAGACTCACTCAGGTATAGTTCTGCAATATCAATCCTTCTAGCATTGGTATTTATTGCAATATGCTCATCAATGGCGCTTAATGCATTATGGTCCGGCAAAACTCAATCACCGAGGATACTACCAGATTTCTCTCAAGTCACTGTCCTTCAACTTTTTACTACTGTCCCAGTTTTTGTGACGGGTTTTGGATTCCATGTGAACGGTTAGTTTGAGAATTATAACACTCCTTTATGACTAACATATATATATATCATTCAATTAACATCAAATGATCAATTAATCAACACATTAATCCCAATGTTTGTATGTAACTTATATATGATTTGCGGCAGTTCATCCAATTAGAGCAGAGCTTGGAAAACCTGCAGACATGTGTTTGGCTGTGCGGATTTCGTTGATAATATGCGTTTTCATTTACTTTGCTATTGGCTTCTTTGGGTACCTATTGTTTGGGGATTCCATCATGCCCGATGTGCTGGTAAACTTTGACCAAAACTCCAATACAAGTGTTGGTCGATTGCTCAATGACATTGTTCGGTTAAGCTATGCACTCCATCTTGCGCTTGTGTTCCCCATTATGAGCTATTCCTTGAGGGCCAACATAGATGAACTAGTATTCTCAAAAAAAAACAAGCCTGCCCTGGCATTAGACACACCAAGATTTGTGTCTCTTACTCTGGCTTTACTAGCCCTCTCATACTTGGTGGCCGTGGCCATCCCAAACATCTGGTATTTTTTTCAGTTTTTGGGATCCACAACCGTTGTTTGTCTATCATTTATATTCCCTGCTGCAATCATTCTAAGGTATTCTGCCAATTTCTAATCTCTTTTTCTCTTATGTATTAGCTTAATTTACGTACAATTATCTGATGTGTTTAATTTTGTCCCCTTTTGAGCACAGGGATATGTATGGCATATCAACCACAAAAGATCAAGTCATGGCAATAGTGGTGATTGTTTTGGCTGTAGTGACAAGCGGAATTGCTATATGGACTAACTTGTATGGTTCAAGTGCTGATCAGCCATAGTGCTATATACAACCGAGTCGTTGAGTTTCAATCCTCTGAGTCAACGTACATTAGTTTCTCTTATTTTATTTTATTTTTTATTTTGTACATAAAGGTTAGGCCAGGCTGGGATGCCCAATTCTCTAAACCGGGTCACTGTCAAGAGATAACTTGTGACCCTAGAAGGATTTGAAAACATATTGGTTTCTAGGGTTGCAAGTCATTTAGCACTTGATCCAATCATTACAAGTTGTCATCTTTTTATTTGTTACGAAGTATGTTTGATTTTATTCAATTATTTTCTAAAAAAAATTATGCAAAAAAAGTTGACCCCATGTTCGAGTAAATGAATTAATAAGAAAAAATCTAAGTTGCAATACACAATATGAACTTTTTGAAATAAGATCAATTTTGAGCATTTTAATTTTTATTCACAGATTACTTCAAAGTACTAGGGAGAAATTATTTCCTTCGTACTTCAAGAAATAACTTTTAAATCATCCTTTAATTGTTTTGATATTTTTTAAGAGTTCAGTGATGTCTTTAAAAGGACACAATTTGTATTCTTTTAGTGATTTACACGAAGTTTTATCAATAAGACTTTGAGAAAAACATCTATCCTTTTAAAGGATATAAACTGATATAAGTTTATATCCTTTTAGATCCTAACCGTTGATTTCTGTCCATCAAGATTATAATCTATTAGGTCAAACTTAATGAGCCAAATCTATTATTAATTAATTAATAATTTTAATCCAATAAATTATAACCGATGATGGACGGAATTCAACGGTTAGGATCTAAAAAGATATAAGTTTATATCCTTTAAAAAGATAGATGTTATTCCCTAAGACTTTATATAAATCTGAAAAGTTTTTTTTTTCTACTTTACATTTCAGCGATGCGACTAAAGAGAGAAAAAAAAAATTCAACTAAAAGGACACAAACTTGTATCCTTTAAAAAAAAATACTTCTTTTCCCATTTTTTAATACAATATATAAAATCTCCTTTTCCTTTTTTCTGTTTTCAATTTTATATGTCCAAAATTTCTACCGGTGATTGTGACTTTTTGTTTGAACCATGGATAGACACATCACGAAAAACACAATATTGTGTAGATGATTTTGATCTGATCCAATATGAGATCGGCTATGCATGTGAATGGGTGTGAAGTCCGTTTAACCGTCTCTAAATTCGATCCAACCGGTATTAAACTTGTTAGTTGAATCAATTTTTTGGAATTTTGTCTAAAACGATGAAAGAGTGCAACTACTGAGAATCAAACCTGTAACCGAGGTTATATATATATATATATATATGGGTAAGGATTATTTTACACCAGTGTAAGTTACACTCTTAATCTTGTTTGTTAATCTCATTTATATTTAAAGGCTCAAATTTTTTAGTAATGTGAGCCATTAAATTTAAGTAGATCAATGGTCAAGATTGAGTGTAAGACTTCTAACTCTTACACTGGTGTAAGAATATATATATATAGGGATTTGATTTTCTCATGTTGCATAAGAATTGAATTCATGTTGTGACTCAACTAATGGTGGACCCCACATTTATTAAAAAGGGAAAAAGAAAAGAAAAGTTTTGCAGACAAATCGAAGGGTCACAACATGAGAATTAATTCTTATGCAACATGAGAAAATATTTTCTCATATATATATATATATATATGAGGTAGGATCCTTTGACACCAGTGTCAAATTTTAAATTTGACACCTCATCTGATAGTCGTTAGATCAAAAAAGATCAATGGTGTTATATATTTGCAAATCAGAGTCGTTGATCTTTTGTGATCTAACGGCTCTCAGATGAGGTGTCAAATTTGAAGTTTGACACCTCATGTAAGAGCCGCTAGATCAAAAAAGATCAATAGTGTCACATGCTTACAAATCAGAGTCGTTGATCTTTTTTGATCTAACGGCTCTCAGATGAAGTATTAAATTTGAAATTTGACACTGGTGTCAAAGGATCCTACCTCATATATATATATATATATATATATATATATATATATATATATATATGGAAAATATACTCTTATATCGGAAGAGAATATTTTTCTCTCCTACACATATATCGATTTCTGTGTTATTTTTTTCTTTTTCTATAAGTAGTAGGTTCTACACATGATTGTCTCATAGCATGAAAAAACTTCTCTCTTATTGCATGAGATTAATAAAGTTCATATATATATATATATATATATATATTATGGGAAATATAAGCGTTGTGCAACAGCAAAATTGATCCCCTGTGCAAGACACAGTTTTTTGAAATGGTCCCATAGCTTAGTAAAAAACATAAAATAAAAATGTTTGGCACGGAAAATGGTAAATGTGCAGAAAACAAATGTCTGCTCTTGCATCAGGAGGGACATAAGCCCCTTTTTTTATTATTATATTTATCACATAATATGGTATATAAATATAATTTAAACAGTTCAGTAACTTATTAGTCGAATTAATAATTTATTAACTTGTAATTCAACCGAGCCGATCACCATCTGATTTTAATTTTTAATAATATTAAGTGACTGTTTGAAAAAAATTTTATCTTCTCTTTTTCTTATAAACAGAAATTAAGTCAAATAGATTTTTATAAAAACTCTTAGTATAAAAAGAATTTTTTTATAAGGAAAAAAAGCTAAAAATTAAAAGACCGTGGGAAGAGTTTTGTTAAGATGTATGTTAGTTTTTTTTTATTCCTTATTTATTTACAGGTTTACCCTTGTTCTAAACTTGTATTTATAAATTTTATAAAAAAATAGAAATTGTGTTATTTTAAGTGAGAAATAGATATAAAATAATATTTTTTAGTTAAAATTTAAATTAAAATAAAACTATTCACTTTTTCTCTTATGATTTTTATTTTTTGTGTCTATCTCTCACTTGAAATGACATAATTAAAAGTACAAACCTAAAAGGAAATGTATAAACGAGAGCGATAATGGTTAGATCATTTTGCATAGGCGAACAATTTCGCCTTTACAGGAGGGGTAAGAGCTCTTGATTAAGAATATCCCTACAATTATGGGACGAGATCAAAGGCAACATAGCATACAAATCATGCGCTTGTGGTCTTGTGGAGATGTATGTGCTCACGCAAAGTCTACCAGTTCCTGATGTGGGTTTTTGGCAACCTACGCACACAAACACGGAATACCACATCGCTTCTATCTCTTAATTACAAATTTTATGCTATTGTTGCATAGGAAGAGACACACCAAAATATTGTTTGTGCTCAAGATGATATAGGAACAGAAGCTGCACAAATTGGGTCGAAGAACCCTCTTGTTGAGAAGACACAAGAATGTGCATTCTTTGCGAAAAAATTAGTCATGATGTTGGGAACTTCATGGCTATCCAAGCAAAGGAGGAGGAAGTGGACGGGATGAGGTCGATCACGTGGCAGGAATAGCTTGGAAAGAGCACATGCACTACGCCAAAATAATCAACCATCTCCATTAACTCATTCTGCTTTGGGTTTTTTTTTTTTTTTCTCGGTTTATCTATTATTTAACTAATTAGATTTAATCTCAATAGAATTTTTATTGATTATGACTTTCTCAAGATTATTAATTTTCTCCATTTCTCAACAAATAATGAATCGATTCAGCTCTTGTTGAATAAGGGCTAACAGGATGCTGGAGGGTAATAGACTAGTCAATCGGCTTCCTAACTTTTCTCTTTTGTCTGAATATGGGTCTTCATGGTTTTGATTGGCCACCTAGTCAGGGGTTGTGATAGTTTATTTGTTCACAACGTTGCTGGGGTCTCCCATGTGAGGTTTGCTTCTGCATCACGTACAAAAAAATAAAAAATAAAAACGCGGCCAATGCTCTTATAAAACTTTTTTTTTTTGGTAAGGTATAAAACTTCTTTTAAAAGCTCTTAATATGTATACTAAATATTGAGTACAAAAATTATAAAATTGATGGAGGGGAAGAAAACGAAGAATATGGTTCTTTTTCTTAAATAAATAAATCAAAATATAATAAGAGTATATTTTCTGCAAAACATTTTGAAACCTCACACAATCATACCACCATGAAATCCCAAAACCCAGCTCAATCATACACAACTTGATGGATCAACTCTTGCTATGCTAATCCACTTATCAGATAACAAAAAAGAAAAAGAAAAAGAAAAAGAAATTAGAAGAAGAAGAACGAAACCATACCTATGCGAAGAAGAACGAGTATAAGAAAGAAAAAATTAAAAGAGCTATTGACTTCGAAGAAGAAGAACCGGGAGAAGAAGAAGAAATTGAAAGAGCTTGAAGAGAAAAATCATGAAAAGAGAAAGAAATTGAGAATTTAGGGTTTGGTTAAAAAAAATATTGGGCTAGCTATAGATTAACCTACCCTAGCTCAAAAGAAATGAGAGTTATTGAAGTTAGGATAAAAAATAACCTTATCATATATGGGCTGAAAAGAAATAGGACTTAAAATTGAAGTTAGAAGACTGACCTACGAGCTGGAGTTTATTTTGATAGCTGTAAATATATGGATAAGAAATAACAAATAAATACTAACAAATACAATATTTATTTTATTTTACACTTAAAAAGTACTTATAATTTTCTTTTGAAGTATTTCTATTAAATTATTTTCATTTTTTTATACAATGATCCCACTGAGATTCAAATTTCTTATCATTATACCAATTCTACTAACTTAACATTTTCAGGCCACTCATTGACCATATTATTTATTTATTTATTTGATTAAGGATATTAATATTTTAATTCATATTAAGAAAACGACACATGACGAATAAGAGGAAGGCAGCATTCACGACACCCACTTCTCCGTCCACATTCATTTCTTGTTCGGATTCCTCACGATTTCTCACTCAAAGTTCAAACTTCAAAGAACGATCACGAGTCCTCATGGTGCATGCCACTTCAACATGTCCGTTTCACCATAAAACTCAACAAAAGCTCCTGCCAATTTACAATCTCACCCTTTTCACTTCTCCCTTCTCCCTTATACACGTACATTCGCCAAGGGCATTATGGTAACGCCGTAATCTTAATTATTCAACTAAAGTACCTATAAATGCCACACTTTCGCACGTTATTTATGTGCAATAAGACGAGAATCCTTTCTCTTTTTTCCTCACTTCACTCGCGCCGCCTTGATGTCGCCGGTGACCGGAGCACGCCTCCCCCTCTTGCCGGAATCCAAGGAAGCTGCGAGGCCAGCAACCGTGTCCGGCGCCGTGTTCAATGTTGCCACGAGCATAATTGGCGCCGGGATTATGTCTCTCCCGGCGGCTATGAAGGTTCTGGGTGTGATTCCGGCGTTCGTGTTGATTCTGGTCATCGCTTTTCTAGCTGAAATATCAGTGGAGTTCCTCATGAGGTTTACGCGTTCCGGCGAGACGACGACGTATGCTGGTGTCATGAGAGAGTCGTTTGGACCCTTAGGAGCAGTGGCAGCGCAACTTTGTGTCGTAATTACTAATCTTGGGTGTTTAATTATGTACCTGATTATTATTGGTAATGATGCTTTTTTTCTTTCTTTACTGAATTTTTTCTTCAGCAGCTGCATAATTTTGGTTAGTTTTGCTAGATATTAAATTTTATTTTATTTTAAGAAATTATTTTTTTGCTATCTACCAAAAATTATCTGAATTTGGATCTTTCTGTTTTAAATGATTGTAAAGGAGATTGGATGATATTTCTAACCTTTAGTGTATAATTTGATGCACTGAACAGGGGATGTGCTTTCTGGAAATCAACCTGAAGGAGAAGTACACTTGGGTATTTTGCAACAGTGGTTTGGAATTCAATGGTGGAATTCACGTGAATTTGCTCTGCTCGTCACCTTAGTCTTCGTTATGCTTCCACTGGTCTTGTTCCGTCATGTAGGTCAGTGTGTCCACTGCATTTGAATTGGATTAATATGTGAGTTCAAATGTGACTAACATTCTGTTTTGTTTGCTGTTGGCAGAGTCCTTGAAGTTCAGTTCTGCAATATCAACTCTTCTCGCTGTGGCATTTGTTACAATATGTTCTGTATTGGCAATCGTTGCTCTTGTAGAAGGAAAAACACAAACCCCAAGATTGTTTCCTCGTTTGGACCACAACACCTCTTTCTTCGACCTATTTACTGCAGTTCCAGTGATAGTCACAGCCTACACATTTCATTTTAACGGTACTTACTTAGTAAGCTTGCATTAGTGGCTTAGAAGTTAGAAGATTTGTTTGCTGAAAATAATTGGTTTTGCTTGCAGTACATCCAATTGGGTTTGAGCTAGCCAAGCCATCGGACATGACAACTGCAGTTCGAATAGCATTAATACTTTGTGCGGTCATATACTTTTCAATAGGCCTATTTGGGTACCTCTTGTTTGGGGATTCAACTCAGTCTGATATTCTCATCAACTTTGACCAGAGTTCTGATTCTGCAGTTGGTTCCTTGCTCAATATTTTAGTCCGTTTGACCTATGCATTTCATGTTATGCTGGCGTTCCCTCTCCTGAACTTCTCTCTGAGAGCCAACGTAGATGAATTCTTCTTCCCCAAGAAGCCTCTGCTGGCCACAGACACCAAGAGATTTGTGATCCTCACTTTATTGCTGCTAGTCTTCAGCTACGTTGCTGCTATAGCAGTCCCAGATATTTGGTACATCTTTCAGTTTATGGGATCAACATCTGCAGTGTGCCTTGCCTTCGTCTTCCCTGGTTCTATTGTTCTAAGGTAAATTCCGCTGTCTTCCATTCAACAAGACAATTGCAAGATAAATAAACGAGGTTTTGTCTAATTTTTTTTTTCATTTTTCTAAAAATGACAGGGATTCTCACGGTATATCAACCCGAAGGGACAAAATTATAGCACTGGTTATGGTTATACTAGCTGTAGCAACAAGTGTGATTGCTATCTCCAACAACATATACAAGTTTTTCGGGTAGTAAGCAAGAAATTTGTATCCTTATTTTTTCTTTCCTTTTCCTTTTGTCCCATATGTAAAAATTTTGATTAGGGGGAGAGAGAGAGAAGTCTAGACACCTTTGATAGTTGAGGTTGAGGCGCTTGTGTTTCTAGGGTTGGTTGTTTTGGATGTCATTATTATTTGTTTGTTGTAAAATTCATTTATCTAGAACAGAACAGCTATCTAAAATATAAAATATGATGAAGCATGCATTTAATGATATGGATCCAAATTTCCCAATTGAAATACACTGTATCCAAGAGCAATCTGATTGATAGATGCCGGTTGTTAAACGTGCATTGGGACCCATTAATGAGATCAGGTCCTGTAACCCAACTCATGATCAGTCCTATTATATGTATTATTCATTGTATGTCTTCTTGTTAGGTCCATCAATTCTTTGAACATTTTATTCCCTTTCTTTTTCTCAGAGAAGGTTGTATAAAAAACACAACTTGATTCACAGTGGCCCTTGTTAGCCCACGGATCTTTCCCTGCTTATCTGTATGTACGTATCACAATCAAATAGTTATCCGTATGTATCAATTCACAACCAAAATATTAATAATGCGGAGAGCTGGTAGTATGGATAGCTATTGAAATTGAAATATTCCCACTTCCTACCTAAGTCGCGAATGATAGAATCGAATGATATCTTAGCTTACCAGTGTCACATGCACACCTCAGTTTACAAATTTCAAAACCGCATTTTATAATGTGAAAATGGCTAGTGTAATTTATTTTAGAAAACAAACAAAATTTAAGAGAGGTTAAGATATATGGGAAAAATTATGATGTCTTAAATATTAACATTTTTCACTACTTCTATACTCTCTCTTCTTTTTTTAGTTTTAAGGGCATAGCCCCAAAACCGAAACAAACTAACAAAAGCGCATATAGCGGTCTCTTCCTATATTGACTAGATCAGCTAAGAACAGAAAACTAAGACCTGCAGGTAGTAGGGCTAGCTCCTTGTATTCGTTCTCTTCGCTTGCTGAGAGGTGATTATTTGCAAATTGCAATCCAATCTGCACAATAATTCCCTTCTCTAAACGTATGTTTAATAATGCATTGATCAGCACAGTTTAGAAGGCTCCGAATGTGAGCCACAATGTGAATCTCTCCGAGTGCATTACTGGATTTGGTAAGCAAAGTGACATGCAACAGCGATAGAGTCACTTTCTATGATGATTCTTCAATATTTTTTTTTTTCTAGTTTCCTAAGGTATCCTCCAGTCTTTTCCATATACTCAAAAAACTCAGCTATCTATGTGAGCTTTGTTGATATTCTTCGATACTTTACTTGTTTGATCTTATCATTGGATACATCTAAAGTAATAACAATTGCGGTTTCAAAAAAGTCAAAGAAAGTAATCTAAAAGTTTTTTTGAATGGTGGAATAATCTTATATAGAGATTAGCTTCTGTGCAAAGCACACACTCTTATTTAAAACTTATATCAATTTCTTTAAATAATATTAATGTGACAAAAAAAATAGACATAAAAATATGCAAGTTTTCAATTATTTTCTGTTATAATTTCAAAATAAAAAAAAAAAAAGAGCTTTTGGCCTTAAGTGTGAATGGAATCATTATTCTTCAAAACTCTTACTTTTGTGTTGAGTTATTATACTGATCGGAAATAATTTCTTTTTTATTTTAAAAAATTCTAAATGACTATTTTACCATTTAAAATTGGGGTTTATTATTTCTCCAGCAATTTGAGACAAAATCATCTATCGTCATTCTAAAATTACTTCGCTTTGGGATTGTGAAAATTAATGAAATATATTTTAGAAATTTTATTTATTTCTTGCTATATGAATTTTATCAAAATATCCTTTATTAATTTCACATTCTTCAAAACAATGTAATTACTAATTTTGGGATTACTGAAGATAAATTTATCTAAAGTTGCTGAAGAAACAATAAACACTAAAAATCATCTTGGAAATATTGAGTTATTATAAATTTTATTTTAGTTTATGCAATAATAGCACTGACAGTGAGGTTTAAAACTATGGTCGAGTGCAAACTATTCATACCCATATTCTTAGCATCTTCAAGTGATGTTATACTTTCAATTTTTTTATTCTTACCACCTTTTACAATTAATTCTTGTTGTATTAAAATCAAATCAATTATAATAAAATAATATTGATTGAGAGTTATTGATTCACTTTTGATCTAATAATAATAAAAAAAAATTTAAAAAATTATAAAAAAAATTGTAAATATAACTTGCCTAGTAAAATTTTAGGTTTAAAATTTTTTATTTTCTCCATTCTTATTTTTAATTGTACAAACATAGAAAGAATTTTATTTTAATGTATCTATCTCATTCTATCTTCAATGGTACTTCATCATATAGACTGACGTCACTAAACACTAAATAGTAGCAGAAGGGGGGAAAAAATCAAGTGATTGAGATAAAATGTCATGAATATTTTCTTCTAAAATTAAGAGTGAAAATTTTCAACACGGAGTTTTCATGTTCATTTGTCAAGTTATATTTGTATCAACTCGTATTTGTGTCGTGTTTATGTAAACCAAAAAGTGACTCGAAAAGAATTGTGTCGTGTTTATATTTGTGTCAATTTGTTTAAATTAAATAATTAAATATTTATCTCACTTTTATTTATAAATTTAGGATTATTGCAGTAATTTATATTTGAAATTAACCGGCATAACAAACACAAGTCATTCTCTATAAAACTAGTTAATGTGATTTTGAAATGTATACAGCTTGACTAGGAGTTGTTGAAACCATTTGTTAAAAATTAATTAATTCCCATTTCCTTAGTACTTATGCGTAGGTTATTTCCATGGGCGGGGCCTTGAGGGTGAGGGCGAGGCTCATGCGTTGTATTGCAGTTTACTCCTTACTATGTTCTAAAATTCCATATCTTGAACACAGCAGCAAACAGAAAAGATACAGTGCGAGCAACTGGGAGCTTTGTCCCTCTCTCCAAAATGAATAATTAGTATATGAATTTTTTTGTTTTACTCAGATTTATTGTTTTTTAATTTTTAATTTTGGCCCTTACACTTTTTATAAAACAAAAATATTAAGTAGGAAACTTTTTAATGTACAAATAAAAATTGTTCAGAATTACTGAATTACGTGTAAACCTATATAGAATGGTAATAATGTGATCCTACATAAATATAGTTTATACCTTTATCCTTTTATTTTAAATTCACTCTAATTTAAAATAATTAAAACTAAGAGTCATCTTTTATTAATTACTAATTGAGAAATGTCATCATTTTAAATTTAGAATATACAAATTTAGGGTTTGAAAATTGCAAATAAGTCTTAGTTTCAATTCGGCCTAATCAAATTATATAAACCCGTAATTTAATGACAGATAATAAAAGATAAGCTAATTAAATTATTTTTACAAGTTATGATCTGAATTGAGAAAAACAAAATTATTTTAAAGTATTATATACATTAGAATTATTTTGGCTCCCTTTACATTTGTTTCCTAGATCTATTCCTGACTTAAGGTTTCGCTTGAAAGGTTTGCTTTTATAACATTTGAAAGAGCTTAGTACCCAAAAATAAAAATAAAATAAAAACATTTGAAAGAGCTTATAAAAAGAACTTAGCAAAGTATATGGTCTAGCCTGAAGTTATCACAGTGATTTCAACCTAAGAACCTGTTCCAAGATTTCCACCCATTTCCGCCAATTGAGTTAAACTTAAACATTAAGCAAAATCGCATAATGTTAGATTATTACAAACTATCTAATGATTGATGATATTTCTGATAGATATAGGCCTTGTCCAGGAGAGAAATCTCAGTCAAATGTAGTCATTTACAGTGAGTATTACAAGTAAAGCAACGATGAAAGCATAATCCACCCCTGCACTAATTTTAACTCTAAAGCTTTCCTTCCATTTGCTGAAGCTGCTCCTTGGGAATACATCAATTACCTGCACACATGATGTATTTTAACTTCGATGGTTTTGTTGTGTAAACAGCAGCCTTTTTTTTTTTTTTTTTCTTTGTCTGGAGAAAAATTGAAAAAATAGAGAAGCAATTCAAAATTTACAATCTCAATTATCTGCATGACTTTTAATTCAAATTAATTTAGAATGAAAACTTTGGGACAATAATACTAAAACCTAGTAGGTTACCTCAGCAATCATAGTGTGGCCTTTGTAAACTTTGCAGGACCTATCAGTGTAGCTCCCAACAAGTTGAAAGTTGCTGGTATCTTCCTTAATATTACTCTCCATGAACACATCAAGCCGGGGTTCCATGTCAAGAGGGTGGGATCGTTGAACACCAAAAATAAGATCCTTCTGCTCTGTGCTTCTGCCTTTGTGAACCATCCACCGATGGCGCAGTGTTAGCAGCTTAATCTTCAATATGTCTCACAGTCAATTACTTATTGTATCAAATGTGTATCTTTTGACTTGAAAGTTAATTGAAACCATTATTTGATAATGACATGAATATTATGTGTTCAGTCGTCCTGTTGAACCGTATAAGGATACCTCATGGGTATGCGCTCAGAGATATCTAAGAGATGGAGCTAAGATGGATCTAAGATGTGGTATGCGCTCAGCAATACTCTAATTACTGCGCATTATCAATAGACATGTACCTAAGATGTGGGTATGTCCAGTGTTGACAATAATAGTAAATAGGTCAAAAGTGTGTATCCCTTTGTCCTCTCTAGATTATATGGTTGTGATATCTCTATTCAATTTTGCTAGTACTAGGATTGTTAAGATATGGATACAGTCCATAACACTATGCATGTTCATTTATAAGAATGCTAGAAACATACATAGTTCAGAGAACATTTTACCTTCTCACGCATTGTGAGGATGAGGGTACCAACAGCATCACGCATGACCCTCTTCTTCTGAATGTTAAGGCTTGAGCCATCAACTTGAAGCAAGAGATTACCGTTAGCATCTAACACTTCGTATCGTTGGTTTAAGAAGAATCCATGGTATTTTTTCTTGACAGTCACTTCTGTTGGATGAGGGACACAGAAGCTATCCTCTACAACCCGGATCATGGTGAACCCATGTGCCAGTGCCAATGATAATTCAGGAGTGCTGGCCTCCATTAAAATGCATCAAGGATAATGGGAAATCAGAGTTTATAGAAAGAAGCTTTGTTTAGGACTTCCTGTTTGCAGTGCAGAAAACACTCTCATATATATAAGAAGATAAAATGGCTTTGTCACATTTGGTGGTAGTTGATCTCTTTGAATTACCAAGATAAACGCGGTTGCATAGTATGACAGGTTACCATATTCTTAATAATTAATTATTGATCACTTTGTTATTTATTACAGAACAATGAACATTACTTTATGTTGTTAATTTATTAGGAAGTCCCCTTACTCTTTTCTTATTTTGGCGGTTCAAAATGACTTTTCGTATTTCTTATTCAACTCTTTGACACTTCTTTTCTGTAATTTGTAATTCCCTCTTTTGTATCATGTAATATACTAACCTTATCCCTTTTGTTGTTTCCACTTCTTATTCAAGTTCACGAGTTCAAACTAAGCAAATTAATATTTTCAAAAGAATGAAAAAAAAAATAGAAAATAAACCTATTTGCTAATGGGATCCTGAACTTGAGTCGCACCCTCACTCGGAAAATTCCATCAATCTCAATATACAGATGAAAATAAAGTTTTCATAAATTTATGACATAATTCGATTGTAACATAAGATTTCTGACATTTATTTTTTAAATCTTGATTCAAACACAGATGTTGAAATTCGCTGAAAAGTTTTCTAGAAATTCTTTTTCTTCTTAGTTCAGACAGCCCAATATTGACCGAAGAATACAAATGAAATGGGGGGAAATTAAATGTACCAGTTGGTTCTTGTTACATAAATATAAAATAACATTTTTAATGTACTCACCCAACCAACAGTTTAAGTTTTTGTATTAAATTGAAAGTGCACTAGAGAAATAAAAAATCATTAATTGGTTAAATTGATTCTTTACCCTGCCTTTGTAAAAACAATCAATTGCCTGAGATATGGTTTTAAAATTTTGGAATTTGAGGTATGTGAATAAAACAATTTGAAGAACAAAGTCAACAAGCGATACTAACTAGGGGTGATAAATTTTAACATAACCCCGTGATATAATACGAACACAAGATAAAATTGTGTTCTGATCTATATCCGTTCTCAAACTCATACCTTGTTTGTGTTTAAAATCCATCCACAAACACAATACTGACAATGATAACATTCTTGTGGCAAGCGCAAAATCTTTGTATAAGTAAACTGCCGTGATAGACAAAGGATTAATACACGGCGAGATGCATTAACCTAAGGTATACCACGTCGGAAATTATTTGCAGCAAGCAATTTATGAGAGATGTAAAGGTAGTACAAGTCACCATCAATTGCAAAACGAACCATTATAGAAGCTCCCATCCTTTTAAAAAAGGGTCCTTGACACACAAAAGTACCAAACTGTTGCATCAAACTATCTCCTGAATTTTTTTTTTAACAATATTACAAGATTTGAGCAACGAAGTGCAAATGCGTGCTTTATAAGTTAAAAATTCTTGCAGTAAAAAAGCTGATAACCCATACAAGGAACTCCTATGCAATCATTGACACTGTCCCAGCAATTCCGTCTTTTTTTTCCCCATGAATTCCAAAGATTACTGTAATTTCCGTTGCAATTTTGTTCAGTGGATTTGGCTTGGGCTACGAAGACAATAACGGCCCAAAATGCGGGCACAATCCTGCTTTCGCATGAGGCCCACTTTGATCCAAATCACACCTGTTGGGCTCTCGGGTTATGATATGACCCGATTCCATAGAAATGATTGAAAAACGTAACATAGTGATAGTTCTATGGGATTGGATGGAGTTTTCACCCAAATGTGTTCCTCTGAACCGTGACATTCACTATTTTTGTGACTTCAACCAAATTACCTTACTTCGACGGCTCTCAAAAGCAATTCGTATAGAAGAGAAAAAAATCATTTTTTTTTTCTTTCACGCATAATGATATGCATAACAATTTCAATGTAACGATGCAGAAATAAGTTAACTATTACAAATATAAACATTTCCTTTCCGATAAAACAGCTAATAAAAAAGCATAAGATCCATTTTTTTCTTACAGCGACTTAAGATGTGTGAAAATTAAGCCAAACATACGACAAAAATAAAATCTTCATTTAGAAAATTTATCTTGATCTTTCATCATCACCTGTCTTCTTGCCACATCAACACCTCCTCAATTTTGGAGTGACTTAAGTTAGGGAACCACAAAGAAGAGGACTCTACTTCCTGTACAATGCATAATTGTATACCCATAAAATATGATCAAGAGTTTTGAATGCATAATGCCCCATTTAACATACAACATTATGGAAGGAAATGCATTAGTTAATTCCATTTGGAAAATGTAGTGTCCACTGTAATCATATTCCAAATGAGAGAAAACAAATCATATATAAACAAAGGGTTTTATAATTCTCATGTTGAATGAGAATTGAAATCTTATCTTGTAGAGACAAAAAACATGTGAGACCCATATGTTAGAAAAAATTTATATGTAGAATCCATGTCAGCACAAAAATCGAAAGGTGTGTAGGAAAATTTCAATTCTCATGTTGAATGAGAATTATAAAACCCATAAACAAATATGGCAGCAATGTCTGTAAAAGATATAGACCTTCGTGCCAGGAAAAAGCACGAGGTAAGACAATTCAGAAGACAGGACAAACTTATTGTCGGCAGCAATACATGATCCATATTTCTCCAAAAACAAAGTACGAAATCTCTGACAAATGTATTTGATATAATAATAAAGCAGTTTGAACTAACCTTCGTGTCTTGGCTGTTGGAACAATCAATCCTCTTTTCTCTAGGCTTTTATATCGATCCTTTATAAGGGTGCAACAACCCTGAATATGTAACAGCAAAAGTAGGAAAGTTTACTTGCATGTCTACAAAAACTGAGACTCCAAAATAATCAAAATTTCAGCAAGAGAAATTTAAAAGCCTACTTTTAGCTTGCGGATGGATCCAGTTATCTCTTCACTTAATAGAACTTGAACAGGAGCAGGCTCAAACCTGTTATGAGAATAGAATTGATAAATATTCTGATACAATACCAAGCTCAATTAAGAGAAGAAAAAACTGAAGTTGTATTAATAAAGCAGAATCCAACTCAGAATTCAGCAAATTCAGTACACAGCAATGGAATGATGAAGAAAATAATAAGGAAAATGGAAATAAAATGACAGAAAGTAAAGGTGTGACATATACTACGCCGGGACTAATTAGAGAGTGCCTAAATTCTCTCCCAAGCCCAAAATAGTCCCTAGTTCTAGCTCCCTTTCCTACCCCTATTTATACTAATTCTTTCCCTGCATTCCAGTGTGTTGCTTTGCTTCTCACATGTGACTCTACCTCCCTTCCCCTAACAGAATTGCCTTCCAATCGTATTCTCTTATAACTGCCTTGCTGACTCAGCTTGATCATGATTATCATGGAATCTATATTCCCTTCTAGAATACACCTTTAGAGTTGGTTTTAGGGGTGGTATCCTACCATTTTCATTTATCAAGATTCATAACTCTGGAATTTTATACATAGGTTACTAGTCTCAAGTAACAGAAGCTACATGAAAACCCAACTGGTAAATTTTTTCCGTAGAAATGATAAAATAACAATTTACTAATACATTAAAGTACATCCCCCAACCCCCGTAAGAGTGATAACTGATAAGGGAAGCAAGTTAAGATATATACAAAAGACTGCTTACTTGTGCTTTCCTAAGCGTGGCGGGCGTGCCTTTAACATTTCTTGTTTAGCAACATGTCGCCTGAGATGTCTTCTTTTCTTTTCCTCGTCTTCTTTCTCAATTTCCTGAATAATTTCTGGTATGCTGTATCCAAAAAAACAACAGATGCTTAAGTATCATCTTTTATTGTAATTGGACAGAAAGAAAGTGGTCATATTACCTATCAATTTCTTTTGACAATTCCTCTAACTTCTTTGTTTCCGCTTCTTTTTTCAGTTGTTCTTTGCGTTTAGCTCTCTTATTCAACTCAACTCTAGTCACTTTCTTCGTTCTAATAGGCCTGTCCCAATTATTCAGATAATATAAATACACCAGACGTTAAGAGATTACTCTGTTTCGAAAATAATAAGCTACACACTCATTAATAAAAAATATACCGTGTGTAGATGCAAAAGGAATTTATGCAAAAAAACATGAAATTAAACAATTAATTAAAAAAAAAAAAAAAGAACATCAGCAATGTGTTATCCGTAACACAAATATTTTACGCATCTAAGATGTTTAATTATGATGGGCGTAAAAGTGACCGAGTTAGTTAATTAGTTAGGGAAATTCTTCTAGAAGATTCTTAGAGGATGGGAAAAAAGAGAGGAGGGGGGGCTTGTGGAGTGGGGGTATGCATGTATTCTGTTATTGGGAATTGGGAGGCCATTGAGGCAAGGTGTCTCAGTAGGTGGGTGCAACAGGGGAGAGGGAACCTGTTAGTCTTTGTACGGTCATTTTCTGTTAGAGTCTTATGTTTTCAGTGTAGCCATTGACGTTCCATGAATGAAATACTGATAATTGTTTGTCTGTGAAATCTCTATTGGAGTTATGCAAGTCGTTTTTTTGTCCGACTGAGAATAGGCTCCATCAAATTAAAATCACCAGGAGAAACTATTAATTAAATGTTAAATAGGACAATAATACTAAGAATTTGATAAATAATTATAAAGCGATCAACATGCATTAGAATGTCTAAATTCAAAGTAAAAGCATAAGCAGAAGAGAAAAAGAAAACAATAGAACAATGTATTAATTGACTTGATGGGTAATCTATAGTTTAGAAATAATAATAATAATAATAATAAATAATAATAATTTGGGGTTAAATATCATAAAATTAACAAATAATATTTAAACAAATGCAGGCTAGTTAAACTTATGATTGCTTACTTTTTCTCTGCTACAGCATCCTCATTTTCACCCTCATTTTCAAGCTTACTTTCATCATCGTCACTC